TCTGTCACCAGGCGCCAGGCTGGAGTGCAGTGGCACGACCTCGGCTCACTGCAACCTCCGCCTCCCGGGTTCAAGCAATTCTCCTGCCTCAGCCTCCCGAGTAGCTGAGACCACAGGCGCACGCTACCACGCCCAGCTAATTTTTTTGTATTTTTAGTAGAGACGGGGTTTCACCATGTTGGCCAGGATGGTCTCGACCTCTTGACCTCGTGATCCGCCCGCCTCGGCCTCCCAAAGTGCTGGGATTACAGGCGTGAGCCACCGCGCCCAGCCCCTAAAACTGTTTTATACTGATGAATACTTTACAGAAAAAGTGTCTGTGTGAGGGATGCTAGCAGTGTGATCAGATATCAAAGACAGCAGGAGCTCAGCTCACCAGGCTATTTTGCAGTATGTTATAGTTGATGTTAAAGGGGGAAAATGCTTCTTTCCTGAACCAAGGCAGGCAAGGAGGTTTTTTTCCTTTGAAGTTTACATGAATCACCTTAGTGGCCTGTGATGTTAAATGGAGTCTTCCTTCCAGTCCAGTTTGAAGGAGCTGAGCGACCTTCCGTCAGGGAGGAGACAGTGAGGCAGCACCACCGGCAGAAGAGCTGGACCCAAAAGATCCTGAAGCCAGCCCTCTCAGACCACAGTGACGGGGAGAGAGTGGACCCAGGCCTGCCCCTGGAGAAACAGCCGTGAGTCTCCTCCACAGGCCCTTGTAACAGACAGTGGCTGGGAGCTTAATGACAGCTTAGTATGGGGGGACACACTGGCCCATTTAACATGATGATTTTTTGTTAATAAATACTTGCTGGGACGGGGCTTTTAATGAAAACCTATCTTCAAAGCCCCGTGCATTGTGCAGAATGGAAAGTGCACTGCATCTCAACAAGCTCATTGTAGATGTATTCTTCTGTAGAGAGTGAAAACTGTTCAAATGACACTAGCGCCATTACCTCACTCTTGTATGATTGATGGGTTCCGTGATCCCAGATACCCAGATCTGCACGTTGTCTCCTGTAAATGCGAAGCCGGATCTAGTTCAGTCTGTTGCATCCCTGCTAGAAGTTCATTTCAGACAACACTTTATGGAATGATGCCCAGTCTGGATTTGTATTTTGACACTCATGCTGCCATCCCCTCTCCCGCCCCCATTTTTCAGCTGGTATCATGGTGCCATTAGCCGTGCCGAGGCTGAGAGTCGACTACAGCCCTGCAAAGAAGCTGGTTACCTGGTTCGAAATAGCGAGTCAGGGAACAGCAGGTACTCCATTGCCCTAAAGTAAGTAAGCCCCGTAGCTTTCCTCATCTCCAAGGGGAGGGAACGCTGTGTGACAGTCTTCCAGTCAAAAGACATACTATGAAGGTGATTCACAGGGGTGTCCATTGCAGAAAATAAGAGGCATTTGTTTGTACAGCAGAACATGAGACCCTTGGAATGAAAATGCAAAATTGGTATTGGGTAAATGCCTCCATTATCTATTACGATAACCAAGGTCTTATTGCATTATCTTTGTACATTAGTCAATTTCTACCTTACATTAGCTAATCTGGAGTAGGCCCCCTCAGTAGAGAAATAATTCCTGATGAAAAGTATTATTTCTAACAAGGTAGTGCATCATTCTTCTTTTACTCCCTAGTATTGGGGACTTTAACAAATCAAGATCCCCCTGATTGTCAAAATGCCAACTGCAATTTCAATGCCAGTTTTTTCTGGTGAAGAAGGAAATGCTGACTTGCCTGTTACTCCCCCTGTCTGACCGTACACAGAAAATTCACTTTTGCCTAGTAGGCCTGGTGGAGTGTGTATCATGGAAATTCTCACTGTTCTGTGAGTTCAGTGGCCCTATATTGGAGGATCATTGTCAAGAGCCCTAACAGCATTTCCTTCCTGAGGAAGCTGAGCCCCTGCAGCTGAAACAATCAGGCTGGAGGAGAACAGAGGGGGGCGGGGAGTTGAGCAATATGGCTCAGAAAATGGGATAGGCCACCAGATATACAATACCAGGAATAGCTCGACCGTGTTCCTGAAATTGGTGCTTGCGGATTAAATCTTTGAGCCTTTGGTGCCAGCTTTCATTCTATACAACCAGGAATGGTCTTTCCAGATGCGAGGGGAGGAAATGGTTTTTATTATTATTATTATTTATGTGTTCTTTTTGGGAAAAAAGGAAGAAGTACCGTTACATATGTTCTTTTAGCTGTGGTGAGAAAGATGAGTTTCTTTTCTCTTTTTTTTTTTTTTTTTTTTTTTTTTTTTTTTTTTTTTT